CCGTTAAACAGAAATTGGGGAAAAATTTAACAAGCGGGCAAATAATTCTGACTTTAACTGTATATATTTGTAGTACGTTTTAGTTATGAAAGAAAAAAAAAAATGTATAAAACTTGAATTACAAAAAAAAAAAAAAAAAAAGATTAAGATAAATTGGTTTCTATATTCGCATATTCTCCGTAATAGTTTAATTTCAGAAAGGTATTGTATGCGCGTTCTAAACAGGGAAGTCATATTAGCTTTGGTCACAAGTCACTTTAGCAGCCAACAACTGTTCACAGTCAGTTAAATAGTGCTAATGTTGTTTTGGTCATACTTAAATCCGATTTCAGACCGAATATTTCAATTAGCGTGGTAAACAATATAACTAGGGACCTTAAAATGAACGAATGTGCGAATATAGAACCAACTTTACCTCAATCCCTTTAAAAAGAGGCTAGCTTGTGTCAGTTTTTTTCGCAACGCTGTTAGCCTAAAATTCACTCGCCTCTCGCTTTAATTTATTTTTAGCGCGACTGCCTTTAATCGCAATCATGATTTAATGATATTAATAAAGTAACACTAATATTTTCCCGAAGAAAAGTACATATTTGTCGTGTGAAGACTCACCTCAGCTGTGTATCTGAAACTCCCGCCATTCCTGTCAAAAACGTGCACGTGCCTACGCTGGAGTCAAGCACGCGCTTTAAATAATTAGCCAATCGCTAAAAGTTTTGATGAATACAAATTGCCAAGCTTTTTTTAGATGTAAAATAAAAAATGAAATTAAACATTTGATATAATAGCCTACAGACACTGTATGCTGGTTAACTGTAAAAAAATCAAAAGGTTTGATTTGGAGTAGCGTGAATGGCTGTCTGTGAGCATATCCAATGTAAGCATAACTGGAATCCTGACTCAACTCTCTTTATTTCTATTGCACTTTCACAAATCACAATGATTACCAAAGTGCTGTACATAAAACACATAAAACGCATGTAAAATATAAATAAAACCAAAAAAACATAAATTCACATCACATGATTAAAAGCTAAAGAAAATAAGTGACCTCTGAAAAGACTCAAAAGTTTGAGCTTTTCTTAAAGAGAGTGGGAGATCGTTCCAGAGTCTTGGAGCTGCTACCGAGAAAGCTCTATCACCTCGACATTTTAAGCGTGATCTAGGAACTTGCAAATAGAGACGATCCATAGAGCGAAGAGATCTCACAGGTTGGTGCATAATAATTAGCTCAGAAATATACTCAGGGGCCAGGCCATGGAGGGATTTATAAACATACAACAGAACTTTGTACTGAATTCTAAACTGGATTGGCAGCCAGTGCAGAGAAACAAGTACAGGTGTAATGTGCTCTCGTTTTTTTGTGCCTGTTAAAAGCCTGGCAGCTGCGTTCTGGACTAGCTGCAGTCACGAGAGAGAGGCCTAGCTGACTCACACCCAGATACAATGAGGTTGCAATAGTCCAGACGAGAAGAAATAAAAGCATGAACAACTTTCTCCAAATCACTGAAAGAGAGGACAGACTACAGCTTGGCAATATATCTAAAATAGAAAAAACTATTTTTGACAACCGCATTAATTTGCCGATCAAATTTTAGCTTAGAGTCAAAGATGACACCAAGACTCTTTACAGAGGAATGTATTTTCCCAGGAAGCAATGACAGATTGCCATTAGAATCTGAACCTTTTTGGCCAAAAACAATGAATTCACACTTATTTTCATTCAGTTAGAGAAAGGTATTTGCCAACCAACACTTCACATCAGCCAAACAATTCAGCAAAGCCTGAAGGGAGGATTGATCCCTAGATTTTATAGGGAAGTAGATTTGAGAGTCATCAGCATATAGACGGTAATTTATGCCATGCTTTTACTGACTAAATGGTTTTGCATTCACAAAATCGGTTGAATCTGTTATTTCATAACTAGTGATTTATTCACAGGGTCATTGACCTGTTTTATTAACTGTCTGAGAAAACTGAAGGTAAATGCTGTTTAGTGACCTCGTGTTACATTTAGCTCAGTCAGCAATAATGATTCAAAAAATATTGTTTCGAAATAATTGGCTGACATTTATCTTTTAAAATAAGATATGAATTATGTAACACTTAAGCCAAGGGCGTAGATTTTCTCTTAACATTATTGGGGACATCTATACTTTGCATTAAACAGCACAAATTCTGTTTCGCAGAAGATGAATAAAACATTAATAAAGTACTTAATATTATCAAATAAACACTTACTAATACAAATAGCAATTACATCCCATGCTGCAAAAGTCAATTTACATGATTTTACTGCAGTCGGGCTTTGAGGGGGTGTGAATGTAGAGAAATTTAGAGAGGTGCGTGATGCAATTTGAGTGTTTTATCCCGATTGTAGTTTCTCATGATCATGGAGGCTAAATTCGAAAGCGAATTTCGATAAATTGCACAGCCTTGGTTAATAGCATTACGGTGAACTCGTAGCGAACTTAAGTTTTTGCATGTGTGGGTTACTATTACTAAGAGTTGTTGGAGCATTGTTTTATTATTTTGAAATCGATTTAATTATTGGTAGGGACATTTCAGTAATTGATGGATATCGGTGGGGACACGTCCCCTCCGTCCATGCCAATACTCCTTTGACTTTAGCTAACTTGAAATGAGCTTAATCATCACTTTCAGAGAAATCTGTGACATATGATTATAGCAAAAACACATGATTGAGAGTTTTAGTCTAAAATATTTAATACTTTTGAAAAAAATAAGATAAATATAACTATATATTATATTGTGGTGTATAGTGTAGTCACAAATCTCATGGTTCGGATCACATTGTTTTCTTTTAGTCACGGATCGGACCATTTTTCGGATCAGCTAAAAAGGAGACAAATGTAATTTGCTTTAAATTTATTACAAAAACAGTAATGCAAGACACATAAAATGAAGAAATAATCAGCTGAATAAACGTAAATTGTAAAATATTCAGTACTGTAAAAAATTCACTGTTACTACTATTGTTGCTGATAACTCTAAGGCTGCGTGCGAAACCGCATACTTCTATACTATACAGCATGCTAAAATCAGTATGCGGGTCGAGTAGTATGTCCGAATTCATAGAATTCGAAAATCAGTATGCGAGAAGTACCCGGATGACTTACTACTTCTGGTGAGATTCTGGAGTGCGCATCCCATACATGCTGCGCTATCCCATGATGCCCCGTGAGAAAATTCATGAATGGGAGTGAAGTGACGCAACTGACGCAGGTAGGTCAAGTGACCATGACAAAATGGTGGACATAGTACATCCGAATTCCATTTATACTTCTAACATTCATACTGTATAGAAACGAACTTTTCCAACAGCCGAGTGGTACATCTAAATTCAAATGCAGTACCTACTGCAGTAGGCGGTTTCGGATGCAGCCCAAATGTAGAAATTTAACATTATAATTTGCACAACCCAGATGTATTTTTATTCTCATCTTCAATCAATGATTCAGCAATTCACTCATAAAACTTCATGTTTCATTGCTAGATGCATCATTTTTGAAGAATTATTCAGTGGCATAATTTTGATGGCTGGTTGTCGCCACCTTTTGGTTAAATAATGTAAATACTGCCAGTATAATAATGTAAGTACTCCCAGTACTTCTGTGTTATTTGACTGTTTGTGACTTCATAACTATCTCAAAAGACTACAGACTGAGTCTCTTTCTTGATTTTTGCATTTTTCAAACACAGATTTGAATGCAGCGATTGGAAAGATTAATCAACATATGCAAATCACCGTCATTTATAATTTATGTTGCGTGGGTGTTGAGATCCCGATCTTTTAATGATTAATCGCACAGCTCTCACTGAACGCATTAATGCAGGCTAAACAAGTAGTGACAGAAAACACCTTTAATAACCTAAGAAACCCACCACATCCCAAATAACCTACCACAACTCCTTCTGTCGTCATTATATTTTACAGGAAAGCCTAAATGCTTTCATACATGTGATTTAAATGAGGTGAGAGGTGATCTTTCTGCGATCGTTACAAATTTAGGATTAATCCAAGCGTAAAAAAAAAAGTATTAATCCGCGGGTCACGTGTGTTCTGAACGGTGGGTTGTGATCTGTATGAATCACGTATCAACCGTAATCCATCACACACCTAATATATATATATATATATATATATATATATATATATATATATATATATATATATATATATATATGACCAATATCACACTCGTAGCAGTGCGATATGGCTGTATATCAGCACTGGTGGGAGGCGTGCGTTGGTGCCCCCACCAGTGTTGATATACAGCCATATCACACTGCTACGAGTGTGATATTGCGTTTATACAACAGTTTGATGGCAAAATTGTGTATATAAAAACAAAATCAAACATGGAGAGTCTCAAAAACCCTTTTGTATGAGGAACTACTTTCTTCCACGTTGGATCATAAGCTGACAGTTAAACAGCTGTGCGTGCATCTTTTAAACTTTAGATCTGTAGTGTCTGCTTTTTACTGCCTGTATGTGGGCGGAGTAATACACAAAGGGTAAAGAGGCTGTACGGGTGCTGATATTACTTAAATACATCACGGCTATCAGCCAATCAGATTCGAGAACCAGACAGAACTGTTGTATATATGTGCATATATACTATATATACTATATATATATATATATATATATATATATATATATATATATATATATATATATATATATATATATATATATATATATATATATATATGTTTAGAGCTGAGTTATTAAAACTATTATGTTTAGAAATGTGATGAAAAAAAATCTTAATGTTAAACAGAAATTAAAGAATAAGGTTTCTAAAATCATTCAAGCAAATAAACCAAAGACGCTTGCATCTTTTAGAGCCTGGTATTTATTCAATGCATTGCAAAGTCCATCTAGAACCCAGGTTTTAAATACAATGTGAATGTCATCAGTCAATTCTGAATAAAATATGACATCACCTTGAAAAAGAGCAAAATCTTTAAATTACTGAACAAATCAAATAAAGTCGCCATCAACTATCATTCATAAGACTTTAATATATTTACTTGCATACAGTAGGAAATCAAATAAGTGGAAAAGGGGGAAATGTGTATCAACCTCAGGCATTAAGACAAAAATAACCATAATTAAAATGCGAAATATGCCTGGTGGCAATAGGCACACTGTGAAGCGCCACATGAGGAAGACCGGCATCTCCAAGAAGGCTTTTTGTAAGAATAAAACATGTATGAAAACAGCAGAAGTGACGGTCAAACTCTTATGAAGACAGAACAAACATAAACCACCCAGCAAATATAAAAAAAGAAACAAACATCGACATTAAAAGTGAAAGAGCGCACTTTATAACGCGATGAGACGTGCAGAATAAAATCAGAGCTGACCAGACTCTCTGAGAACCAAAAGTACTCTAAAATGATGCCAAGCAGTTGATATTATTGCACCTTTAAGAGAAAAAAGACATGATACGGCCGAGGAAGAAGCTAAAACAAAATCCGCGAGAAAATAAAACTAGAAATGTGCAAAGAGATGTGTGCATACATGTATTCAAGTTCAGCTGTGTGTGTTTGTGTGTAAAACAAGTACAAAAATAGATCTCGATTTGTCAGATGCAGTCGATAATATCTAAAATACGCAATTTAAGGATCAAATTTAGGCTGGATCCAGGAGAAGCGGGCTTTTTTTTTGTATGAAAAAATGCTGTTAACAAAATCCTAATGCTTCCCTGAAGATCTACACTTAGTCAGACAGTGTTTTGGCACAAGGACAAGCTGGTGTAATGCTCACTACCGCCACAAGGTGACGCTATTTGCTCTCTCTCGTATGGGGTGTGTTTAAACACACATCAGCACTCTAGCTGAAGAGCTTGACGAAGCAGCTTTGGCAGTAGGGCTTGTCGTTCTGCTCTTTGAATGTGCCCTTGTTGAGCTGTTTAAGGCAGAAGGCGCAGACGAAATGCTCGGGGTGGAACTTCTTGCCCATGGCGGTGATGCAGCGGCCGGTGATGGGTTTCTGACAGCCGGAGCAGAGCGAGCCGCGTCTCTCGTGATAATGAGCCTCGCAGTACGGCTGCCCTTCATGCTCGAAGAAACTGCCGTTGACAAATGGAGTGAAACACTCCTGTGGAGCAGAAGAGAGAGATCAAACAAAACAATCAGACATTTTAAATGATACATTACAATGTAATGCAATACGATGCAATGCAATGGCAATAGGATTCAATACAATGCAATGTTTTATAGCGCATGTAAAAATGACCATACATAATGCTGCTATTGACTTTATTCTTGACGTATGAGTGGGTGCAGCCACTGGAAACTTTTTTTGGATTGAGACTTCTGGTCTCATTCACTTCCAATGGGTTATACATTATCTATATGCGTACTAGAGATGCGCGGATGGGCTATTATTTCATCCGCAACCGCATGACAAAATTCATCATCCGTCCGCCATCCATCCGCAGTAACATTTTTGACCAATTTTTACAACCGCACCCGCCCGCCATCTGCTGATTGGGCTCTTTATTTGAATGGCTTATTCCTTTTTTTTTATTAAATGAATGTTTCTTTATTGATCATTATAGAATGACTTTAATGTAGACATGCAATTAATCCAAACGTGCAAGTCATTAATTGACGACGCTTTGAAGTTACGCTAAAGATACGAGGAAGTGTCTTTTCACTTGGTTCGATTCCTCGGTCCTTCAGTCTTTTTGCGTCCTTCCCTCGTAACGTTATCCCGGTGGGGTGGAAACACGAGGAAAGAAAGCAAGGAAAGGAAACGAGGATGCACAAATAAGAAATGAGAACCACCCGAGCTCTCAGAATATCAGCAGTAAACTCCGTCTCCAATCGGCGCACAGGGACAAAAATAAATAAATAGCCTAAATTAAACGCACTGTACTGTACAACTTTTTTTTTTTTATTGTAGCCTAATAGAAAACGCATTGACGCATCATTTCAACATGCTGCTATTTAGCCTACTACTAAATGCCTATTTCACTTAATTTTTTTGTAAATAGATAGAATAATAAGTCATTTACATTATAGCCTAATAATGTTTACATTTGTAGTTGTCCATAGCAACCCCAAAAACGTACCTGCTTGCCTTGCACATCTAATTAAATGGGCACAGTTTTTCGACTACTTTTTATTTTTTGCTGTGGATGTTATTGATCTGAAATCGGAAACAACACAGTTCTGCGACACAGATGAACCTTTATTGATATCTCTATCAGACAATACCTATTTTATATGCCAAAAGAAACAACAGGCAGTAAAAAAAATATCAACATAAATATCTTAGTGTAGGCATAGGCTATAGTCGCATGCTTTGGCAAACAGTTGAAAATTTTTTAATAAAAACATCATATCGTGCCTAAGCCTTGTAGGCTCAGTCACCCCCACAATTAGAAATTAAATTAGAAAAATAGATATGCCATCCCTCTTTGAGCGAACCTGACCAGGCTAAAGTGCATGTATGACAAGTGCTTCAATAACCATGGACTTAGGATCATCCCCATTCCCCTCAAACTTGAAGCATAACGAAATAGGCTACTACGCCATTAAATTTGCGACAAAGAAATTCTGGCAAAATAACCTTAGCCTCGGAACGTCAAAGCGAGGCCAACATGTCTAGAATAGAATAGGCTAAACCAATATGAACGTAAAATTATCAGCTGACCGAACTCAAAAGTTTATATTGAACATATGTGTAGCCTAAATAACATAGGCTAATTGGTTTAATATGCCTGACTTTAGGTCTAGTTTGATTTTTTCTTGGCACAATGCAGGAATAAAATAGCATCTGTGTCAGGATTCAGACGGGAGCGCCTGCATAGCCACTGCGCCCTGCTGCACTGAAGGAGCGCTCGCTCGCAGCACTTGTTGCTAAAATGCATAGAATTCTCTTGGAAAGGTGCTGTAGTCGGGGGAATGCCTGGCCTTATTTCTCCCAAAAGGAAAGTAGATTTTCCTCTGCTGATCCGTCTATACAGAAGTTTGTAGAGGAATACTTCTGTACACTTCATCCAGAATTAGTGTATCCGATTCCTCCTCCCATTCTGTGAAGTCAGTAGGCTTTTTCGTTGGTGCGCCAGCTATGAATATAAAAACAGTACAACCGCCCGCCACCCGCCCGAATTTAATTAAAATATTATTTTTTCGTAACGTCATCCGCCCGATCCGCGGTTTATCCGCGGAGTCCGCGGCTATAACCGCCAACCGCGCATCCCTAATGCGTACACTCACTGGCCACTTTATTAGGTACACTTACTAGTACTGGGTTGGACCCTTTTTTGCCTTTAGAACTGCCTTAATCCTTCGTGGCATAGGATTCAACAAGGTCTACCTGCCTAAATGCATTGAGTCGCTGCCATGTGATTGGCTGATTACAAATTTGCGCTAACAAGCAGTTAGGCAGGCGTACCTAATAAAGTGGCCGGTGAGTGAATCATTGTTGCATCTGCCCATGGGAAATTCCCACATACTCACCCTGCAGACAAAACACTCAGGATGCCAGAGAGAGTTGAGGGCAGAGATGTAGTTTTCCAGGATGGCACGAGCACAGCCGCCACATTTAGGGGCGAACATGTCAAAGTAATCCTTTCTACAGTACGCCTTTCCCTCCTTCTCATGAAAACCTGCCGGGAAAAAGAAGAACAAAGAGACAAATGGTTGCCAATGGCTGAAATCCTTTTAAAGGAATAAAGCAGAAAAAAAGGAAACAGCATCTGGAGAGAAGAGGCTGAGAAAGATGCTCTTACCCTCAGGCCCGAAGAATGACCCGCACTGGGCGCAGAAGAAATGCTCCGGGTGCCAAGTTTTGTCTAATGCGGTCACCACTTTCTGCAGGACCAAAGAAGAGAGGATGAAGAATTAAAATACGAGTAACATGAACAAAACACACAATTTAATATCAATAACAGAACACAAATTTAAGATAAAAACAAGATCGTAGTAATTATTGGAGTTAGTAGTAATTGAGTGATCGTTTACAGTAGTGATGTGTGCTGATGCATCAAAAAATGATGCATCTCGCAGTGAAGCAGTGTACCGGAGCTTGATTCATTTTGTCATAATCATGTGATCAGTGACGTCCGAAGCTTCATTTTCACCTATACACATGTGACTGCTACGAATTTTGACTCAAAGGCTTAAACACCCTCATGGGCTAGTAAAGTGTATAGCGAGAGATTAGGCATCGATTACATACATTTCTACTGTTACAAAGCACTGCACTGGTCCCACACACCAGTATTTCAGCAAAAATACTATAGTAATTTATAGTAAAAAGGTTTTGAAACATGCTAACGTGCATTATTTACAACTATTTTCAATGAAGGCTACTGCATATTGTAGTGTAGTGTGTAACAGACGCCAGCTGGTGAGTGCAGCAGAAAAGCCTCACTCTCATGGCGTCCTCAGAGCATTTGCCTCCCATGCAGTAATCGTCAGTTCGATCCCTGCTCGGAATGAGTGGGTTGGTGTAAAACCGGTTGAAATACAATGATTTTGAATCCTTTGGATTTTACTACAGTCATCGGTGGTGTAATTCAACATACCTTATATGTAAAATACTACAGTAATTGGGTGAATTGTTTATATTACTATTGTTGTATTACTGCATGATGAATGAGGTGCTTGGTGTGAACATTGCAACACAGTGCTTTGCCACACTTTAACCAGCAGAGGTCCTCATTAAACTCTGATTTGGAAAGCTTTGAGTAATGAATCTTTTTCCAATACAATTGAGTTGAACGGTTCACTGTTCAGAAAGCTTCATTTCACCATCACTACTGTATTTACAGTAAGGTTTTATCAGTTAAAGTGATGGTTAACCTAAAAAATGAATATTTAATCACTTTTAAAATCACCTATAAGTGGTGCCAAACAGGGCTGCCCGATATTGGAAAAATCGAACATTGCAATATATTTATTTTGCGATATATATATTGCGATGTGAATCTCAATGTCACCTGATGATTTAATATCTCTGTTTGGAAAGAATTTCTAATGTTAAATCAATTGGGATGACTCTGCAGTGGGAGTGCATCTCCATAAAATCTAATAAACAATCTATACGACATATTTTCATTGTTGTCTGTACTACTTGCAGTGTGTTTCTCTATTTGCCATGTGTTGTGAGTATTTGGTAACACTTTTTTTTGATGGTCCATTTGAGTATTAGTAGACTGTCTGCTTAATATCTGCTGATACTGCTCCTTCAACAGACGTTTAACTGACTATAAAAAAAACTTCCAAGTTCATGTCAACTCACCCTAACCCTAAAGCCTAATTCAGACTTTTTCCTAGCGCCGCGTATGTGGAACTACATCATATCATTAAAATCATTCAAGATTTTTAAACCAACTCTTTTTATTAATTATTTTAATGATTAAAAAGATTTTTATAACCATTCAAGATTTTTTTAATTCAAACTTTGATGCATTACTTGCTTTTGTTCCTATCTTAGACAGTTTTACTAATATTTTAATAATAAAGTTTATTAAAAAATTATTAACTACAGAACATGGGTTGCTCTACAAATATATTTTTATTATGAAAAAAAAACAACAACTTACTTACACTTACTAAAAACTACAGACTACAAACTACTTTTTTTTTTTAGCCCGCTTCACAATTCACACTTTCGGTCCTCTTCTTATGCTCAAAAGGCAATAATGGACCAACATTCCTGACTATTATCACCAATAAAGCCTAAAAAACAGGGCATCAGTATATTGTAAAGCGATAGGCTCAAATATTCTTTTCCAGTTATCAAAGAAATCATTTGTTTGTTAATTTTAGTTTTGTGACTATTAAATTGTTTTAAATTCAAAACTGTAATATACACATTACTGTAAAACCTATAAATGGTGGCTAAAGATATTTTGTAATTGTGTACTGCGTCTCCACTTTTGCTATGTCCTCCTTTGGCCTTAAACTTATCCCTCAGGTTTTTCCAAACTTTTTAACAAAAACGTTCCTCCTTTCCCACTAATGTTGCAATTTCTAGCCAATAATCATTGGTTATCCCTGTGATCATGCATTGACTGATCATAGACTAGGGATGTAACAATATTGTAAATACCGTCATACCGCAATAGTAATTTTTTTCAATATTACCGTAGGCGCATGACTCAATAAAACTATATTTCTGAGAAAAGTTTGCTCAGGCGAATGAAGCGAACGGGAGGTAGCGGGAACTACAATTCCCATCAGCCTAGGCGTGGCCATCATCCTTTGCGGCCTGTTGTCACTACAGATCCAGTAATGCGGAAATGGAGTGTGTTGCTAGTAGCGGGGAAGAAAAAGAGCTGGAAATGATCGAACCTAAAGCGGGTTTTAAATCGGATGTGTGGAAGTATTTAGTTTTTTTTTAAAAGATACGAAAAAGGAGAAAAGGTGACAGACAAAGAAAAAAACGGTATGCAGGCACTGCCAGACTGTGGTGAAATATAAGTCGGGGAATATGACTAAAAACAGTCATGGGGACTGCAGAACATAGCACACTTGTTAGATTGATGCAGACATTGACTTGTACTGCAAAGAGACCTCTATCTCACTCATGGCTTGTCTTCTCAAGTGGTGGAAAGACAATGCACAACGTTACCCACTGCTGTCAACCCTGGGTAAATCATATCTCTCTGTCCCAGAAACCTCAGTCCCAAATGAGAGTTTTTTTTTTCTGTTGCAGGGGACATTGTAACACAAGTGATGATGTTTTTAATGAAACTGTAGAGGATTTCGTCCCTGAAAGACTAGGTAAACATGCATTAAAAGGTTATAAATGCAACTTAAAATAAAGGGTTTTATTTAAAGGCAGAGTTGACCACAAAATTTTCATTCACACAACCTTTGCTTGGCCCAAACCTGTTTAAGTTTCTTACCTTTGAAACACTAAAGGAGATATTTTTAAGAAAGTTGAATACTTGTAACTACTGGCCTCTAATATTATACTTCCAATAGTCTTTCAAATTTTAATGTATAACACAGACGCAGACTATATATTATTACCTTATTAATTTTCGGATATTTTTATAGTGCATTACTTATTAAAGAAAGTTGGAATTTATTTACTTAAATAGTTTGTAAGAGTGAGTCACATTTCTAAGCTATAGCTCTTCAAACTGCAGGAAACGTAACACTTTACAATAAGGTTCATTAGTTAATGCATTTACTAACATGAACTAATCATGAACAACACATGTACAGCATTTATTAATCATAATTGAACATTTATTAATGCATTATTGACATCCAAATCCATGCTTGTTAACATTAGTTAATGCACCGTGAGTTAACATGAACTAACAATGAACTACTGTATTTTCATTAACTAACGTTAACTAACATGAACAAATACAGTAGTAAATGTATTGTTCATTGTTTGTTCATGTTAGTAAATGCATTAATTAACATTAACTTATGAACCTTATTGTAAAGTGTGACCACGATATTCTATCATTAGGGATTTATGGTCAGCGAAAGTTCTAAAGAAACTTTTTAAAGGTAAACCCCTATTTAAAGGAGTTTATTATAAAGCACTAATTTAGGAAGTATTGCAAATGTTTTTTTGTTTTGCTGATTTTTGCAGCCTGTTTGAACTTCAAAGTTCACATTATGTCATTAATTTTGTATACTTGCAGGCCTATTTTAATTAATTAAATTAATTCATTTAATTTTAATAGAAAAAATATATAATAATTAAATATAAATCAAATTAATGTAAAATTAGATGATAATATTAATTAGTAAATTATTATTAATAATAATAACAATAACAACAATTTATTAAAATATACTTTCGTGAGGTAAAAATAATTAAAAGGGGGCCCTTGGATTTGCTACAGCCCCTGGGCCCAATATGTTCTTAATCCGGCCCTGTCTACTTTTACTCCAATGAGAATGAGTTGACATGTAGATGCAATGTAACAAACAGACCATCAAAATAAAGTGACCGAGTATTTTCCTGCACGCGTTTAGTAATGTTTAATAGTTGCATCTCCATAAAATCTAATAAACAGTCTATAAACTTTTCGGGGTCCTCAAACACATTTTTTGTTGTGGTCTGTGCTGTTTGCAGTGCATCTCTGTTTTTGCATGCCTTGTGAATATTTTTATGCATAACAATCTATAAATACAGTCAAGAAAAAGATGCAATTGATGAAGTGTTTTATCGTTTCCCGAGTCTAACAGTATTCGAGTACAGCAACTTAAGGATAAAAATAAGAATAATTCAATAAAATTAAACGTTGTTAAAGTCACAAATGATACAATTTCTTATACCTGAATGTTTTTAAAATCATTATACAATCACAAGCATCAAAAACACATGCAAATGACCAATTATAATAAATCTCAACATTGCTTATCCTGCGATGTGGCTACTGCGAATGATCACACTGTGATATCGAAGCTGAAACGTTATATTGTGCAGCCCTAGTTCCGAAGTTTCTTTATGTTTATAATCATATATTTTTTAGGGGTTTTCACCTTTATTTAATAGGACAGTGGAGTTGAGACAGGAATACATGGGGAGCAGAGAGAGGGGGGAAGGATCGTCAAAGGACCTTGAGCTAGGAATCGAACTTGGGACGCCGTAAGCACCTTAGTGCTATAGATCGGTGCACTTTACCACTAGGCCATTGGCACAGACTTCTTTATTACGTTAAACACAAATGAAGATATTTAATAGAAAGCTGAAAACCTGCAACCGCTGACTTCCATTGAAGGAAAAACAAACACTATGGAAGTCAACGTCAACAGAAGTCAAACAGGTCGAGTAAATAATGACAATGTTCATTTCTAGTTGAGCTCAGAGTTACATGATGGCTTCAGAGCTGCACATTTGATCCTTTCGTGCATATATATTTGCAGATTTTCATCTGTCTGCAGCAGGCTCTCCAGTCTACATGCATGTGTTCAGTTCTACAGCAAACGATCTATTTAGACTGTATGTAAGTCACTGTTTATGTTTACAGGAAATCTGAAGCCTGAGGTAAAGTGTGTGTGTGTGGCTATAGTAAGACTGGGTACTGACATATGAGACACACACATACACACTTAAACATACACATTCAATGACACAGGGATCCACGCTGACACAAACACAGGTTGGTATGTGTGATTTATGAGGACTTCTCATAGGCGTAATGTGATTTTTTCATTTTTTCTTGTAATATAAACCCAGCCCTCTTATGAAATTCTGAATGTGAAAAATTCTTAGGTATGATTTTAATCAGTTTTAAATTACTAGAAGACAAGGCAAGTCCTACTAAACCACCTCAATATTGCAATATTAAAACATAGCTATGAAATGATACAAATTTAAGTCCTCATGAATCACATCAAACAAGCACACACATACACTCACAAACAAATAATCAGAGATACACACATACATTCACACTGACGACACACACAGATATTTTGAGCTCATTTACACTGAATTCACCAAGTTAAACAATAAAACAGAACTTAATAGGTCAAAAAACAGGTTGTATATTACCAGTGGCACAATATATGGATGAGAAATACTTAAACACTCACCGGTCACTTTATTAGGTACACCTTACTAGTAGCGGGTTGGACAGTCTTTTGTCTTCAGAACAGCCTTAATACTTCATGGCAGAGATTCACCAAGCTACTGGAAACATTGTTCAGAGATTTTGCTCCATATTGACATGATAGCATCACGCAGTTGTTGCACATTTGTCAATGATGCGAATCTCCCGTTTCACCACATCCCAAAGTGCTCTATTGGATTGAGCTCTGGTGACTGTGGAGGTCATTTGAGTACAGTTTAACTCATTATGTTCATGAAACCAGTCTGAGATGATTCTCGCTTTATGACATGGTGTTATCCTGCTGGAAGTAGCCATCAGAAGATGGGTACACTGTGGTCATAAAGGGATGGACATGGTCAGCAACAATTCTCAGGTAGGCTGTGGCATTGACACGATGCTCAATTGGTACTAAAGGGCCCAATGTGTGCCAAGAAAATATCCCCCACAGCCTGAACCGTTGATACAAGGCAGGATGGATCCATGCTTTCATGCAGTTGATGCCAAAATTCTGACCCGACCATCTGAATGTGGCATCAGAAATAGAGACTCACCAGATCAGGGAAAGTTTCACCAATCATCTACTGTCCAATTTTAGTGAGCCTGTATGAATTGTAGCCTCAGTTTCCTTTTCTTACCTGACAGGAGAGGCACCTGGTGTGGTCTTCTGCTGCTGTAGCCCATCCGCCTCAAGGTTGGACATGTTGTGTGTTCAGAGATGCTCTTCTGCAGACCTCGGTTGTAACGAGTGCTTATTTGAGTTACTGTTGCCTTTCTATCAGTTTGAACTGCAGCAGATCGTCTTGACCATGTCTACATGCCTAAATCCATTGAGTTGCTGCCATGTGATAGGCTGGTTAGAAATGTGCGTTACCGAGCAGTTAGACAGGTGTACCTAATAAAATGAGCAATGAGTGTACATGTATGTTCTTTTTAATGTAAACTTGCAAAATGCTTTGGCAGTACATTTGTCACGCCAGTAAAGCAATTATTGATTTAAACTGAGAGAGAGAGAAATGCACTCTCTCTCGCTCTCTCTCTCTCACACATTCACAACATAGACAGAAAGACAGACGAATGGACAGACAGACAGACAGGCCTGAGAGCGCTGGAGGTGCTGATGGAAAGTGTAACGCTTACGTCCAGAATGGGTCCGCTGCAGTAGTAACAGCGAGGAGAGAAGAGGCTGTGATAGTCCTTTTCACAGTATGGCTGACCGTCCCGCTCAAAGAAATTTCTGGAGCCGATTTCCTCCTGACACTGAGTGCACACAAAATGCTCCGGATGCCACGTCCGACCCATTGCTGTCACCACCTGAAATAAAATTGAGAAAAATCAAAGAAAAAGTATTCAGTGTGTGCTTTTCAGGAAATTTGTGTCATTTTCAGTTTGGGGAACTGCCATTCACAAGAACCGAAAGAGCTCATTTTAATAATAAAGCGGAACTACAAGTGTCTGGCTTTGTGCTTTATATTTATACATCATGAAAATAAGGCTTCGCTGGGTGTTTTAACAAGACATTAGTTTCATTATCAGTGGCATGAGCTCTTTTGAGTTTCACCACTTTTTGTTTATGAGTTTACCATGTTTTTATACTGCACTGAGTTACATTTAAAGATGCATCGAAATGTAAACTGAGCTGAAAGGGAAGATGTTTTGTAATAATTATTTATTATTTTATTAAACAATGGAAAGTCATTTTGTAATCCACTTTTCCCGGGTTGGTCGCGGAAGCAGCAGTCTCAGGAGAGAATCCCAGACATCAATCTCCCCAGACACTTCCTCCATCTCCTCTAGAGGGGATCCAGAGGCGTTCCAAGACCAGCCGAGACATACAGTAGTCCCTCCACCGTGTCCTAGGTCTTCCCTGAGGTCTTCTTGTGGGACATGCTTGGAACACCTCCCTAGGTAGGCATCCAGGAGGCATGCAAAACAGATGCCCGAGCCACCTCAACTGAGTTCTCTCGATGTGGAGGAGCAGCGGCTCTACTCAGAGCTCCTCCCAGGCGACAGAGCTCTTCACCCTATCTATAAGGAAACCCATTTCAGGTGGTTGTATCCGAGATCTTGTACTTTCCGTCATGACCCAAAGATCATGAGCATAAGTGAGAGTAGGAACGTAGATTGACCGGTAAATCGAGAGCTTTGTTGGCTTTGTTTGGGCTCAGCTCCTTCTTCTTATTACTCGGCTTATTTTCTTAATACTTTTAAAATAATTAATAAATTAATAAATAATAAAAAATAAGACAATAAAATAATAATAATAATAGTAATAATAATTCCTTACATTTACATAGTGCTTTTCTAGACACTCAAAGCGCTTTACGCATTGAAGGTAATCTCCTCATCCACAACCATTGTGTAGAATCCACCTGGATGACATGATGGCAGCCATATTGCGCCAGACCACACACAAGACACCAGCTGATTGGTGGAGAGTGATGAAGCCAACTATGGCCATGATGGACAGAGGCCAGTAGGCAAGTTTGGCCGGAGTTCAACCCCCACTCTTTTTCGAAGGCCATCCTGGGATTTTTAGAGAGATAAAGAGTCAAGGTCTTGGTCCGAAAGACGGCGCTCACTAAGCAGTATAGAGTCCCCTTTACTATAGTGGGGTGTTAGGACCCACACAGACTGCAGGTTGAGCACCCCCTGCTGGCCTCACTAACACCACTTCCGGCAGTAACCTAGCTTTCCCATGTGGTCTCCCATCCAGGTACTGACCAGGCGCAGCCCTGCTTGGCTTCAGTGGGTGACCATGTGAGAGTTGCAGAGAGCTAGCTGCCGGTTGAGCAAACTGCTGGCTAAATAATCATGATAGTAAAAGTTGAGAGCTGTCATTTGAGTTTGTCCACATTATTTTCTTTTAATACTGCCGAAACAACAGTAATATTTAAATATTTTTAAAACAACCTAATTTATACTGACATAAAAAAGGCAATAAAATAACAACATTTTATTGACAGTTAAAGCTTATTTATAAAACAAGTTGAGAGCTGTCATTTGAGTTCCTCCAGATCATTTCCTTTTAATATTGCATACAGTACAGTAATATTTAAAGATTCACTGAAATGAAAATTCAGGACTGAAACTGAAAATTCTGAATGCATTGGCCGAAAAACCAAAACAGAATAATTATTGATTAATAAATGAAATAATGAAGTCATTTGGTAATGTTTTTAAAATAACTTCATTTATACTGATATAAAAAATAAGGCAATAAAATAACCCCGTTTTATTGACAGTAAATGTTTACTGACATGGAACCAGTTGAGAGCTGTCATTTGAGTTCCTCCAGATTACTTTATTTTCATATTGAATAGAATACAGTAATATTTAAACGTGCACTGAAATGAAAATTCTGTCAATGAAGTTACCATATATGGTTCCTCATCAAGTAGTGTGAAGTATTTAATATAATTAAAATGATAAGCTAAACAGTTCACAGCACCACCATTTCCATCAGCCTTACAAGCTACATTTTGTTTAAATTATGAGTCAGATTTTCCAACAGCTTGCTCCAGCAATAAAAATAACCACTGTCAAAATTTACTAAAGATATACAGTGCATAGACACAGTGATTTTTGAAGAGACATATTCAATCATTTCTGTTTCAAAGGAGAATATTTAAATGAATCATGCAACGTTTGTGACCTAATTTTGCGTGTTTTGAACATTATGCAAATGAGCTGCTGCATCTGTGTTCTAGAATCCAGCGGTGCACATCTGTAAAATGCACATTTTGCCCTGATTAGTAAATATAGCCTTATAACAAAGAAAAATGTGCAGCATTCACACCACTATTTAAACAAGTGCCATCTTTATTATGATTGAATGTTTCTGAAAGTCAAGGTTACATTTATTTGCTCAAAAATGCACAGTAAAGCAGAAATATCTTAAAATAAAAAATGTGTGTCACAATTACCACAGAGTAGACAATTAAATAATGAAATAAAGCAGCTCAAATGTTTTCAGTGTAGATGAGAAATAATGTGAGTAGCAAATGATTTAACACATAGAATTTGTTTTAAAATATCTTAGAAAAATATAATTTATATATATATAAATATATATACACACATATACATATATATATATATATATATATATATATATACACATATATATATATACATACATATATATAAATATATACACATATACATATACATATATATAAATATGTGTATATATGTGTATATATTTATATATATATATATATATATATATATATATATATATATATATATATATATATATATATATATATATACACACACACATATTTATATATATATATATATATATATATATATATATATATATATATATATATATATATATATATATATATATATATATATACGTATATGTATATATATGTATATGTGTATATATTCATATATATATATATATATATATATATATATACATATATATGCGTATACATTAAGGGTGGAGCCGAACCCGAATACGGTATTCGGAAAGGCACGAATAGCGTGTTTTTACGAATACTTGATTCGAACAAATACTTGAAAAATTATTTGTATTCGGGAGCAAGAAAAACACTATATCAAAAAGCAGCGTTTCCTCATGAGACCACAGTGCATGCCCCCGTGAGAGAGAGTGAGTGAGAGAGAGAGAGAGAGAGAGAGAGAGAGAGAGAGAGAGAGAGAGAGAGAGAGAGAGAGAGAGAGAGAGAGAAACAAAACGCGCCAAAGCCCGAAACTAAAAGCGAGACGTGACTTTTAAGGGGTTGTTTCATATGGATTTATTAATCATTCTTACTGTTCAGTGATCGCAAACTGCCGTAGTTTATTAAAGACGCAAACCTCTCACTGCACGTCAGCTGCGCGCCTTCAGCAGACCTCCTCATTCCTGCAGCACGAGAGCTTTATGATTGTTTATGCGCACCAAAAGTGGCGGATCTGTCCGGTAAAATATCTGACTGCGTGTCACTGCATCCCTAAGGACTGTTTGGTGAAATATTTGACTGCATGTCACTGCATATCAAACCGACTGAAAGGATATAACTAGAGAAAATAACTGGAGACACTGTGCTACTGGGTGAGAGCGTATGGCAAGCCGTTTTAGCATTTAAACCTTGTTCAGACTATCCATAAATATATTTAGAGATATCTCTAATTATATTTTGACTTGTCATAATTATAATTCGACTAGTCAGATTGGAAATATCTGCAAATATATTATGATAGACTAGTCATATTCCTCCATTGACTTCCATTGAAAAATATTTGCAGATATCTCTAAATAAGTTTTGACTAGTCACAATTGTAATTAGAGATATCTCCAAATGAATTTTGACTAGTCAAAAATCCAATTCAAGATATCTACAACTGTAATTAGACTTTTAGTAAATTAATTAGAGATATCTTCAATATATTTGTAAATATCTCTAAATATGATGAATTAAAGATATCTCTAAATGTATTATGACTAGTAAAAACTCAGAGATATCAATTACAATTGTTACTAGTCAAAATTCATCTGATTTCGTACTAGTACAATTGTAATTGCAGATATGTCTAATTGTCATTCTGAGTAGTGGAATTATAATTATGACTAGTCAAAATATAATTAGAGATATCTCTAATATATTTATGGAGCCAGAACAAAGATTTAAATGCTAAAAAGGCTTGCCATAGACAGTGCTTCTCACTGAACAGAGCCGCAGCGCAACCTTCTATGTAATGTATTATCACATGCACTAAAAGCATCCTAAAAGCATCAACACAGCCACATTCTGCCCCAGCAAGTCAGTTTCAAACATAAAAAAAAACAAACAAACAAACTTTGTGTCTTTTTTGTGGCAGGCAGATGATAATAGCAGGGCTGTATCTTTTAGTATTATATAGAATACTTTTGTTCTGCCAGATCTCCCAGGCAGGGTTTTATTTAGATTTATTTAGTTAATATTAGTTTTTGGAATTCTGTCCATTGGAAAGAAGTTCTTTCAGAAGAAGAACAGTTTTTTGAAGTATTATTTGTTTTTATTCTGTCTATTCAGTGTCCTTCAACAAGAACGGTGGTGGTGGGGTTCATAATATTCACAATGGTATTTTATTAGTTGTTGGTTTAACCATGGATGAGATTATGGCTTCTATGTTATTTTCTTTTCAATGACATTTCTTATCACATGTTCAAAAACAACAGCCAATATTGCATGTCTATAATTTATATAATGGGTATAATTAAACAATACTTTCACTATAACGTAAATTAGAAGTGTAATAGAAAATATATATATTTTTGCGCCATTTTGAATTTTACTCGAATACAAATACAAATACTTTTCCCCCCTCAACAAATACAAATACAAATACAAATACCGGCTGCTCCGCACATCCCTAGTATACATATATATGCATATTCATATATATTCATATCAATTTCATAATCAATTTACAGAAATGATCAGACGTGCTCCAACATTAGGCATGTTCATGTCAAGACTTAAAACGCATCTGTTTAGCTGTGCCTTTACTGAATGAGCACAGTGCTACATCCGCCAGATCACACTTTTATGTATTTCTTTTTTTCATTCCTTTAAAAACTGTTTTAACACATTTTAAGGTTTTAATCAGTTTTTAATTATTTTAATCATCTTTATTTTCTTGTGTCTTTTATTCCTGTTTATGTAAGGCACTTTAAACTACCATTGTGTATTAAAATGTGCAATAAATAAACTTTATACTGATATAAAAAAATAAGGCAATAAAATAACCACGTTTTATTAACAGTAAATGTTTATTGACATGGGACCAGTTGAGAGCTGTCATTTGAGTTCCTCCAGATTACTTTCTTTTCATATTGAATAGAATACAGTAATAAACATGCACTGAAATGAAAATTCTGTTTCATTTTAAGGTTTTTATCAGTTTTTAATTCTTTTAATCATTTTTATTTTCTTGTCTCTTTTATTCTTGTTTATGTAAAGCACTTTGAATTACCGTTGTGTATAAAATGTGCTATAAATAAACTTGCCTTGCCTGAAACAAATCTAGAGCATAGTATCTAATCACAATAATACAAGTCTATTTTTAGACCAGAGTTGCTGCAGGATTCATCATGTCAAACTGAAGACTCTTTGAAACCATTAAAACCATTAAGAATGCAATTTTAAACGTATGCATGGTTAAACATTAAGGATGTTTTTTTTCTAATAGCCCGGTATTGTCATCATATTATTATCATGAGGAATCATACAATTGTTTTTACTTTTCTTTCCCTGATTAGGGAATTTAATGGGGAATTTGCTGTAAAAAAAAATCTCACAGCTGTTTAAAACTACAAAATGTATTATATTAAATATGAAAAATAAGGATGTATTGATGTATTGTTGTTGATTGGATGGATGTTGGCCTGATTGAGTAGCCTCACATGGACAAAGCAAAGTTAAGACAGGTCTAAAATGATTCAAAACCTACAACACAAATTTAAAAAACTAAATTTTAGGCCCTAAAAAGGCTTAAAATCACTGAAATATTAAGATATTTTAAGACGTCTAAGACCCAGCGAACATCCTGTAGACCAGGGGTGCTTAAATTCTTCTTTAAAAGGGCCAAAAAGCAAACTTGATTAAGGCCTATGGCCCAAAGGTAAATATACTAAACTGTGTTAAATTAAAGTTGTGACAGGTAATTAATAATAACTAAAAATAACTACAAATCATTGCTTTATATTAATTAATGCAGTTTATTTTTATAATACATCAGCAAAAACAATCCCATTCATAACAGAATAGAGCTTAATGGTGAATACACAAGTCAAGATTTGCCTTGATTTGATGTCTTGCTGCATTGTTCTGCAATTTTATCCTCCTTACACTGGCTGCCTGTTAAGTTTCGTATTGAATTTAAAATATTACTTCTCACCTATAAAGCTCTAAATAATCGAGCTCCTGTTTATCTAACCAACCTTCTGTCTCGCTACGAACCAACTCGCTCCTTAAGATCTCAAAACTCAGGGCTTCTGGTAGTACCTAGAATAGCAAAATCGAGTAAAGGAGGTCGAGCCTTCTCTTTTATGGCTCCTAAACTCTGGAATAGCCTTCCTGATAATGTCCGAGGCTCAGACACACTCTCCCAGTTCAAAACTAGAATAAAGACCTATCTGTTTAGTAAAGCATACACTCAATCCATCACCTAGCGGGTTCCACACAGGCTTCTGCATATTGCTTATATACACTATGAACAGCAGCTACGCTAATTATTCTCTTTATTCTCTATTTTCACCTGGGGATACTCATCCCGAGGTCCTCAGATTATGCGGAGTCACTGATTGGATCCAAGACCAGCGACGAGATGATCCCAAGGTTTCCATATCCGGGACCAGGCCATATCCTGAGCTGCTGCTGCACTGATGGTCATGGGAAGTGGAGAACATGAGACTGATTCCAGTGACGCTCCATGACAGACGAGTCTTCGCTGAGGCTATCTTCCAGCCCACCGCGGTGACTGAAGCTCTGCACAAGACTTTTGGCCAGCGGAGAAATTAAAATGGTCGTGCCGAACTGAGTCTGGTTCTCTCAAGGTTTTTTTTCTTCACTCCCATCAGGTGAAGTTTTTTTTCCCTCTCCGCTGTCGCCACTGCCTCGCATGGTTCAGGATTGGTAGAGCTACGCATCGATGAATTGGCTCTTCAGTGTTTGAACTCTCAGTAATGATTAAATCACACTGAACTGAGCTAAACTGAACTGAACTTAAACACTAAAACCTGAACCACACTGTTCCAGTTACTATGACCATTTATGTGAAGCTGCTTTGACACAATCTACATTGTAAAAGCGCTGTACAAATAAAGCTGAATTGAAAAAATTGAATTGTTCTCTGTCCATAGACTGACAGTATTTTAGAAATTCACAACATTTAATTGAAACATTTAAGCTTGATTTGCTTTTTGGTAGCTCAGCAATAAAACAAACAATCAAAAAAGGTTATGTTATATTAAAAAATGGCCATCTCAGTTAAAGAGAAACCTCACCATCACTCTCTTCTCAGATTGAATGGTGGGCCAAATCAAACGTTACCATGGGTCAACTTTCGACATCCCTGCTGTTGACCTAGGTCTGGATAATGCTATAAATGTAATAATCTGAGGATTTCTCACCTGGCCAGCGATTGGTTTTTTGCAAGCTCCACAAACGCCTTTGGCAACAGTCTGGACACCCAGTCGGTTGAGGTCTGACTGCAGACTTCCCAGCATATTGTCCAGTTTATTCCCCTGCTTCGGGACACTGGTGGGGGAACTCTTGCCCTGAGCCATAATCTAATAACACAAAAAAGAAAACACACACTTAATAAACACTGCTTAATAAAGCAAAGGAAACATGGATGCAGTTCCCTCTCCACACATGCAGACACAAAAGAGCAGTTTTGCTTGTTCAACACATTCCGCTTGGTAAACATTACTAAATTATCACCAATTAAGTCATTCAGCAAATGCATTTATCCAGAGACATTTTTTACACTTGCCCTAAGCCATAATATACTATAAATCATAAAGAAGCAAACCTACACTTTATAAACACTGCTTTATAAAGCAAAGGAAACATGGATGCAGTTCCCTCTCCACACGTGCAGACACAAAAAGAGCAGTTTTGCTTGTTCAACACATTCTGCTTGGTAAACATTACTAAATTATCACCAATTAAGCCATTCAGCAAATGCATTTTTCCAAAGATACTTTTCGTACACTTTTTTGAAGTCAATTGTAATGGAGTGGGGTCACAAACTACCTCAGTTTTTAATTTTGTATTGTTCACGGTTGGGGTAAGGTCCAAGATTTTACATCAAACAGCATCAACTGATAAGTAGTTGCCTATTTTCAGTCAACGCCTGCTGCTCTGGGGTGCGTTTCCCAAAACCATCGTTAGCAAACTATGGTCGCAAGTTCCGTCGTTACAAATATAGTTTGTTGATTTGCTGTTTCCCAAATCCATCGCTCCAACAAACATTCGCAAACTGCGTCGCAAATTTGAGCACTTGAAACTACACCTCTGGAGCTGTAGTTAGAAACATAGTTCCTGGCTGTGTTCTATTCCCACTTATCCCCCCTATGCCCTATTCATTTAGAACATTCTAACATTCAAAGTTGGAACTATTAAAAATAAAAAAAGCATTAAAGTCATCACTCTTAGGTGTAATTTGTTTTCAAGCTATTTTTACAGTTCAGTTTTAGCGATCTTCATGTTTACAATTGTGCTCCCTTCGCAGTGCACTTTGAAAACATTGATGTCATTTTGAACACAGCCCCATGGTGAAAGCTATTTCATTTATTTTATTTAAAAGCAGAATTTACGTTACGTCTCCAAAGCTTGTGAAAACAAAAAACATAGCATATGTTAATTCTTTTAATGTGTAGTGGGTTATTTATTAAGTATCTGTACTGTATATGACATGGGCCTGTTGGTTAGAACTTTCTGCTGTGGTTTGCATGTGTCAAATTGTAAAAGTAGACTTTTCAAAAAATAAATAAATAAACAATATCCTACTTAATAATAATAATAATCATTAATATTATTATTAAAGTAAATATATTCATAATAAATAGCCTCATTAATTATTTTTTATATGATTTGTATATGATATTAGAATGTGTTAGCTTTTGTAAATGATTTTATGTATTAGAACAGAATATGTAATGTTCAACTTCTCAATAACATGTGCAGTGTTGGGCAAGCTTCTTGAAAAGTGTAGTGAGCTAAGCTATTGGCTACTCTACTTAAAATGTAGCTTAACTACACTAAAAGCTGCCCCCTGGGAAATGTAGCAAGCTAAGCTTAAAGCTACATGGCAAAAGTAGCTTAGCTACATTCAAGCTATTTTTGCCTTTTTTATTTTGAAATCGAAGCAACTTAAATCCAAGTCAATCATAACTCAGTGATCAATAAATCTGTCAATGAAACATATGAGGCATAATAGTTCAGTTCAGATATTTACTGTAAATAATATGCAGTACTAAACAGAAACACATTATAGTATAACAGCTAAAAAAAAATACAATAAAACCAGGTGTTACACATTTAAAATACTATAGTAAAGGGAATTTTTTTGGAATAATATATAAATTAACATACATTATTAATATATAGAAATAAGTTATTGCATCTTAACATGTACTTCTCGAGGTATGGTCACGAGGAATCCTGCTTCATCCTTCAATCGTCCTGTCATCTTTCTATCAAGCAAGTTTCGGTTGGCGACATCCAACCAGAGGTGGCAGTAACGCACCCAAATATTTTTTGTCGAACACCGTAAAACAGGATGAACAAGAATTCCTCATTCCAGCCATCATATGGATTTACTATCACCGGCTACACACCGGCCTCACAGCTTCGTGAATGTCGGTGCCGTCACTTATTGATCTGCAATCTGTAAATGTAGCTTGTGTGGATGCTACTGCGCTACTTGACTTATAAAATAGCTTCGATTTGATTTAGAAATTAGCGACGCTACCGCCAAGCTACTGAAAAATGTAGTTAAGCTGCCCAACACTGAACATTAGTAAAGCAAACACAAGCCCAATATGTGCCATTTACATATATTTCAATTAATATGGAAAATGAGTGCATGTTTTTACCAAAACTTTCATTGGATTTTATTTTAAATGCGTGTTAGTGTAGAAAAAAATTAATTAAAAATAAATTTTTTAAGAAGTAGTTACTCCGCCCAGTTTAGAGCATCATTATGGGCATTTTACACTATAACTAACGTGGTTCAAGCGATGGATCTGCGACAGAGAAACTAGGGGTTTTGGGAAACACTCGTCCCTACATCATTTATTTCTCAAACGATGCATAGTACTATGATAGTTCAGCCGTTAGTTACGTCATTGTTTGGGAAACGCACCCCTGATTGGCTGAGAGTTTTGCATGTTAACAGGGCATTGTTAACAGAAGTAGAAATTTATTTTCTGTGGAGGTGTAGCTTACTCACCCTATTACATTATAGAGTAGAAAATTCCAGAAGCTGTTAGTTTAGTCATCCGGCGTAAACACATTGATAAAACGGCATATTTTAAAAATACTAGTCTGTGAACATCATCAAATTGAGCATACTGTTCGGGATTGTTACATTTATGGTTAATTATTTAATATTAGTATTTAAAGTTTTTTTTTCTTTTTATTAAGATGTTAAAATTTTTCAAATGGGCTCTATGCACGTTTTTCAGCCAACGGTAAACTTCCGGTGAAAGGTTAATGTGACTAATTTTATTTTTATGAGGTTCTCTTTACAGCATTGATGTCGTAATGTAATTAAAATAAATTCAGTTGAACAAACTGAAGCATTTAATTAGTGGTTCAAGTGCAAAGCGAGATGATGACCGCGTAAGCGATAGTGCCTTCAGTAGCAGCAGGCAAGTGCAGAAACTCAACTGAAAATTCTTGGGGAAAATACATGTCCATTTATTCATTTGCTGGAAATTGGAACTGAATTTAGAAATAGTATTGAAGCAAATCGTTTCCACACTCCATGAAAGTAAAGGAGTAAAGTAAAGAGTAGAAGTAAAGAGAAAGTAAAGAAGCTGAACCAAGGAGGCTCATTCTTTATCCTCATGCTGCAGATACTCTGTTTAACTGTTCTCCTGCTAGTGAAGTGTTCAGTTTTCCCACTTACAAAGTCTGCCATGTAAATAGCAAATGCACTATGGCGTGACGCAACTGACTCTTAAAGAGAATGCGAGATGAGACTCTAATTGGTTTAATGAACGTTATGCTCAAAACACACCCAGAGCTCATTAGGAGAATAAGCTTAACCCTGTTAGACCATGCGCCGGGGTGCACACCGTTATTTTCCATCTTTAAAATAGCAAAAGTGAATTCGGACACGCTCTTAATGCTTTTGCACCAGGTACTTCAGATATTGCGCCTAGATTGTTAAAATAGAGCCCTTAGTGTGGGAAATTAACTGTGTGATGCGATCCAACACGAGGCGACAACACAGTTGGGTTTCATTTTCCACTAATTGTTTGCAGTTGGCTTGTGGTCTCAGTCCTTACAGGATGTCTTCATGTCTGTTACCTCTTATACAGACGTGGACAAAATTGAAGAAAGTAAAACTAGAATGGTCACTGAAATTACTATAAAGTAATGATTAACCCAAAAATACATAATATGAACTAATGAAATCAGATAAAGATTTCGAATTGTGGTTTAAAAGTACTATTAAAAAAGGCAAACTAATGAACAGGCCTGGACAAAATTGAAGGGGAAAATCCTCTTGTGAATTTTGGGTTTCAGGTCATGACTCTTAAATCAATGAAAAGAATGTTGAAAATGAAAGGCTAAACATTTGCCAGAGATATGAAGACACCACTAACTAATACATAACTTGTTTTGGAGAACACAGTACTAAGAGGTGAATGTTAACGTCCTCTATTAAGCAGTGTATATCGGTTCAGAGATTTATACAAACTTTGCACCATGACAAATCAATCTTTCAATTGAAAATTCTCAATAAAACCATCTCCATGTAAAAAAGGTCTAACCTTTAAATCTTTACCTTTAAATATTCAGAAAACATGTCAAGATCTTATTCTTTCAAACAAACAGGACTGGAAATGTTGAGTTGCACACATTTAATTGCATCATTCATTAGTCACTCCATTACAGGATGTTAGTAACTATAAACAGCACCACCGCATGCACTTAAAAGGAAAGCAAGTAGATCTTAGTGTCACTGAAATTGACGTTTAGATCAAATGTGTGAATTAGCCACAGCAGTACCAGTAATAGAAAAACATTACTGCTTTCACACTACATCTGCTTTCACATCCATCAAAACAACTCCACAAAGCAGCAACAGTTAATAAGAACATCTGCTTAGATGTTGTGTAATTTGATATTTCATGTCACAAAAAACGAAAAGCTTTTGATTCAAATCTGTTTTGCTAATCTAAAAGCAAGTCTTATGCTCTATGCATAACCTTCCCTAAATACAGCAAGAGGGTGTTAAAGACGTAATCAGATGACAAGCCAAGCAAGGTTACGGGTCAAAAAGGTGTTGGTGAAACCGCATCTCTGCTCTGTGGATTCAACGAACTGAGAGTCGTGACAGAAGCATTCTTAAGAAAAACAAAAATAGCACCCTTAACGCCCTGTTATTTCCGCTTATGAGCTCACACGTTAATACTCTACTGCTGAAATGGTCAAGTGTAGCCTGACGTGTGACATGCAGGGTTTAGTCTGTTTTCTAGTTCTGTTTTCTACTACAGCATTTTACACGATTCTGAGCGAGAAAAAAACAAAATAAATAAATAAATAAATA